GCGTCTAGCTGATTAGAGAGGGCATATGCACAAGAACCCCCACACTTGCAGATAATACCCACTTGACCTGGCTTCAATGACTGGATGATCAGAGCTCAACTAGAAGAAAGAAGAGGAAAAAAAGAGTAATCTGATATAATTTGATAAACTTGACCTACACCTATGGATGCAGTAGCTCAAAAGAGGGAACAAATCTTTATAGCAAGGATCATTCCCACCCCCTCAATACACAGGGTAGACAGGGATGGGCAACTTGGACATTGGCTACCCAAAATGGGGGTGGGGGGCTACAGAGGCAAGAAGTGACTGGCTTCCAAGCTTTCAAGAAGGAGCCTAGATTCAGAGGGTATGGAGGAAGGTAGACTCTCCACTGAGTAGTATCCAGTCTGTCTGGGTGGGGCTCATGAAAGGGGGATGGGGATGGCACTCATGTGGCACAATAGTGAATAATTGTTATCAGGACTGACTGTGAGGGTTGGAAATGTAAAGGTAGATGTTTTGTAGCAAGGAGGGGAGTGACTGACTTTGCAGTCCAGGAGCGGAGGTCCCTAGGACCATCAAGGGAGAAGAGTGGAGTGCGGGACCCTCCCCAGAGAAACAGTGACGCCTGAGATGGAGGCAGAGACGATGACGTGGAGAGATGGAGCAGCTGGGGATTCTAGACCCAGAGAGGGAGAGGGGCTGTGTGCTGACGACCAAGGGGCAGGCTTCTAGTTTATACCCTTTGGTTGGTTGATGATGAGTGGAGGGGATTGTAACCATGTAAATGAAATGATATACAATAGGATGAACATAAAGCTAATGTTCTCTCATGTAAACTATCACATAATACACAATAAAACACTTTATAAAAAAAAAAAAAAAGTCTGCAGGCAGTGCTGATGCTGATGCTGGCCCCTGGTCTGCACTGTGGGAAACACAGGCCTAACAAGGATGTAATTTATTACATCAGTGGATTCACTGGTGGACTGCTGAGTGATACCGGTATGCATACACAGAGGTAAGGGTGTCTGGTTTCCCGGGGCTGAGGTTCGGGCCAAGGATGGGACACAGAGAGGGGGGTGATTCCAAAGATCCCTGGAGCTCAAGATCTTCTGGGGTACACAGCCTCCTCTACATTCAAGAAGCACCTCCCACTCTCTGCTAGCCGCCCCCCCCACACACACACACACACACATACACACAGGTGAAGACCGTGGTACTGCTAGGCCAAACAAGGCATATGTCATATGTAGGGCAGGTAAGGCCAGATGGGCAGACCACAGAATCCCTGCCCGCTCAGCTGCTAAGTAACCAAAATACCAGAAGGGCATAGCTTTAACGAATCAATGTAGGTTCTCAATTAGGAGGCTCAAAATCTGACTCCAGGGGAAGGCTCTCTCTGTTGACTCAGGAAGGTCCTTGTCTCTTTAAAGGTTCTGTTCTGTGGTTCCTTGGCAGTCTTTGTGTGATGTGTAGTCTTCTGTTAGTGCTTGCTTGCCTCTGTGCCTTGTTAGTGGTTGCTGTTGAGTTGATTCTTGTCATGACGACCCCATGCGTGCAGAGTAAAACCGCATCATTGAGTTTTCAAGGCTGTGACCTTTTAGAAACAGATCATCAGGCTTTTCTTCTGAGGAGTTTAAATCATCAATTTTTCTGTTAGTAGCCCAATGTTTACCTGTTAGCACCACCCAGGGACTCCTCCCCAGTGCCCAAGTTTTTCTTTTTATATCTCAAAAGCAGTTAGATAAAAGGCGACAGAACTGCACACGTCAAAGTGAGGCTATGAGTTGGTGGTTCCCAACAGCTGGAGCGCCACCTAGCCCGTGCCTTCCCCGGCGGGCGAATGGGAACGAGTGGAGACACAGCGCACAGGGAGGAAACAGGTGAGGATCAACCCATGGAGACGACTGCCGAATCTCCATCCATGAACAGACCTGAGGCCACCTCCGAAGGTGACTCGTCGGTGGGGGCTGCCACTGCAACCGCAACCATGACTGGGACTAGCACCGCGACCCCGCCCCGACAGGAATCCAAAAGGCGCCTAGGGAGACCAGATCAACGCCAGCAAGAACAAGGAGGGCACGGGAGAAATGTTTGTTGGAGGTCTGAGCTGGGATACCAGCTAAAAGGACCTAAAAGACGATTTTACCAAATTTGAAGAGGTCGTTGATTATACAAATAAAATGCATCCCAACACTGAAAGGTCAAGAGGGCTTGGGTTTATCCTCTTCAGAGATGCTAAGCGTGTGGAGATGGTTCTAGACCAGATGGAGCACAGGCTGGATGGCCTTGTCAGTGACCCCAAAAAGGCCATGGCCATGAAGAAGGACCTAGTGAAGAAAAGCTTTGTTGGGAGTCTGAATCATGAAGCCACTAAGAAGATCCGGGAATATTTTGGCAAGTTTGGGGAGATTGAGGCCACTGAGCTTCCCATGGATCCAAAGTCGAACAAAAGACTTTGTGTTTTTTATCACTTATAAAGAAGAGGAACCTGTGAAGAAAGTTTTGGAGAACAAGTTTCACACTGTCAAGGGAAGCAAGTGTGAAATCAAGGTGGCCCAGCCCAAAGAGGTTTACCAGCAGCAGCGGTAGTGTGCCTTTGGGGACCTGTAGGAACCGAGGTAGTGGTAAAAGGGGAGGTCAGGGTAGTACAAACTACGGGAAGAGCCAGAGACGCAGTGGCCACCAAATAGCTCCTAATCATACTGCAGGGCAGCAGGTGAGGCCGGCTGACCGCACCACTCCGTTTGGATAGCACGGAACACAATTATGTACCAAATTTAACTTGCAAACTTTCTATGGTCTGTTCCATGTGCATCTTATTTTAAATTGTCCCCCTGGAAATCAATCTCCCGTTTACTATTTCCAGAGCTCTAGTTATGTTTGCAAGAAGCTCTGGTAGTGTAGTGGTTATGAATCGGGTTGCTAACCTCAGGGTCAGCAGTTCAAAACTACCAGCTGCTCCAAGGGAGAAAGATGAAGCTTTCTGCTCCCATAAAGATTTACAGCCTTGGAAACCCTGTACAGGGTCGCTATGAGTCAGAACCGACTCCACGGCACATAACAACAATAAAAGTTGTGTTTGTAGGGTGTGGTGTATCGGAGGCCATGTAACATCCTGGACCTGTTTTATCACCAGCTTTCCCAGAACCAGATTGGACCGTCTGCGCCCAGTCAGCCGCTTTGTAGCCTGAGCCTGTGGACCCTGGTGATAAAGAGTAAAATTGTATCTTAGGAAACCAGCGTCACCTTTTAATTTTATATTATTTGTGTCATACATTTCCTGTAATGGAGGTGTTAGTTTTATTGTACTTTTTGATACCTTTTGGGAACCTAATGTTTTGTAAGGTATTTTACATGTATCCTGATTTTACCAAGACCTGGATATTGAAGCTAGCCAAGCTTTTGAAGTAAAAATGTAACACTCCCCCAGGAGCTCTGGTAGCATAGTGGTTACGAATCGGGCTGCAAACATTAAGGTCAGCAGTTTGAAACTATCAGCCACTCTGTGGGAGACAGATGAACAGAAAGAGCTTTCTGATCCCATAAAGACGAGTCGACGGCACTTAACAACAACAACAAAAAAGTGGTTAGGTTTATGATACATCCCACACTGAAATGGCCTCATTAACAAAAGAAAACTCTCTTCTCCACTAGGATTGTATCCATAGGCATGCTAGTGTTGTTGTTGTGTGCCAAGGAGTCTATTCGGACTCACAGGGATCCTACAGGACAGGCTGTGACTCTGTGTAGAAGCAGGCTGCCTTATAGTTCTCCCATGGGGCTACTGGTGGCTTCAAACCACAGACCTTTCAGATAGCAACTGAGTGCTAACCACGGGCATAGTGATTAGGTCCAGCACATATTTTCGCAGAGAAGACACAATTCAGTCCATCACACCAGCTGAACTGGCTCTGATGCCCTCCCTGTCGGGGAGCTTTCACCCCCAGAGCTCACTAGCTGTGGTCTAGGACCAAAGGAGACACAGAGGACGCTGGAACTTGAGGAAGGGATCTCAGCACCATTTATTGTCCAAAGAAAGTATACACATTTCATAGAATGGCCATTCATAGGAGATCAAAAGGGCAGCGTTTATTTAAGGACAAAATACAGAAAGAAGAAAGGGAACAAGAAACACAAGGAGGAAAAGTGGGTTTGTAACTGAGATGAAAAGAAGTCTATGATTTGTGGCATATAAAACTGATGATCGGCTCTGTAAATCTTCACTCAGTTCTCAATAAAAAGTTTAATAAAAAAAAAAAATTATATACACCTAAGGGCTACTCCCCAAATGGGGAAAAAAAAGAACAAAATGCAGGCTCTTTGGAACCTAGAGAGGAGGGGAGAAAGGGAGGGGAATACCTGGATTTCTAATAAAAGCCTAGGGACTCCCTCCTAGCTGCGGCTGCAGGGGCTGATTTAGACAGGCTGGGAGCCCTCTCCTTCAGGCTGAGGGTGAAGCCACAATGTGAGGGAAAGGCCAAGGTCTACCTCAGCTCAGCCCTGACTCCCTGAGGCCCCCTGAACAAACCACTGTCCCCTCAGGACAGGAAGGCTCCAGTCTGTGATGACAGATTTGTTTAAAGCCCACAAACCTCAAACGTCCTTAGGAAGAGACAGCAGGGTTTCCGGAGCCTGAGAACTTTAGGGAAGGAGCTCAGGTAATATATTGGTTACAAGTCGGGCTGCTAACCTCAAGGTCAGCAGTTCGAAACTACCAGCTGTCCCATGGGAAAAAGATGAGGCTTTCTGCTCCCATGAGATTTACAGCCTCATTAACCCTATACAGTCGCAACTGATTCCACGGCACACCTCCACCTGCGCTCACACTAAGTAAAGGGAGGGTCTAGATTCTGTTGGGTTTACCAAAAATAGCAATACTTTAAAGAAAATATTTTAAGTTGCAAAGTATATAAAAACAATACTAAAATTGCCCTAATCCTCAAGGGAAAATGAGCCACTCAATAAATACACAGTCGGTGAGGGAACGGAAGGGTGAGGGGCAGGTGCCCCGGGTTCTAGCTCTGGCGGTAACAGTAGACACCATACTTGTGGTTCTGTGGGTCTGGGAAGCCGAAGCTTCGGACGCCAGGCTCAGGGGACCCACAGTTGGGACGGGGGTGAGCCACTGGGTAGCGGACGCTGCCATCTGCCAACCAGCCAGCATCACAGCAATCCAGTCCCCGGAACTTCCAGGCAGCAAAGAGCTGGCCCACCTTGGCCATCTGGGCGCCGTCCTCCTGGCAGGCTGCCTTTGCCTCTGTCAGTGTTAGCTTCTCAGGATGCTCCAAGTAGTACACCCGACCTGCGGGGAGAAGGGGTGTAAATGCTGGGCTGGGCACCGCGGGGCCGCAGCAATGCCAGTTGGTCCTGGTGTCCCCCAGAACCCCCAAATAACCTGACAAACACTTTCTGTCTGCCCCTGAAATGTGTCTCTTTTTGCAGACAGACTATTTTATTTGTGAGGCCCCAGCACACAGTAAGCACTTAGGAACTGTTTGATGAACGAAGAATGAATCTGCATGGAGAATCAGTAGCAAAGCATTTAACTCTCAGACAGACAATACTTCAAGACCCGCCTGGTGCTCCAGGCCTCCAGGGTGGGCTGAGGGTCTCAAGCTGCCAGAGGCTGCCTGGAGGGTCTCAGACCACCAGCAGACCCTGGGCCTGTACTTGGCCACCACACTCACCCTTCAGGGCAGCGGCGAAGCAGAAGGCATCGTAGCGATGCAGGCGGCGGTGGAGCCGACCATAGCTGCGCACACCGGGCGCCAAGCCCAGCCCTCCGCAGGGCTGCCGGGGCAGCGTGATGGGGTACTGCACCGAGGCGTCCTGTAGCCAGCCCGCGTTGCACCAGTCCAGGCCCTCCTCCCAGGCCCGGAAGAGCTGCTCGAAGGAGGCCAGACCCGCACCCTGCTCCTCGCAGGCCCTCTGGGCCTCGTGGAAGTTGAGCCGGTAGCGCCCCTGGCGGGGCTGGTAGGGAAAGACCACACCTGGGGAAAGGAAAGAGTTGCCTAGAGAGGTGGGCAGAGGCTGAGTGGGTGGGTGACCCCAATGCCCTCCTACCTCCGCTGGGATATGGGCCCTTCCATCACTCTCTCTCTCTCACACACATACACACACACACACACACACACACACACACACACCTGGTGGTGCAATGGATTAAGCACTGAGCTGCCAAAAAGATGAAATTGTCTGCTTTTGTGTGGATTTACTCTCAGAAATCCTCTGGGGCAGTTCTACTCTGTCCATTCTCAGAGTTCTCCAAATCCAAGGCAGAGATGGCATCTGGTACACACCCTCTCCTAGAAGTAGACTGGCACATACTCCGGAACATGTATTCCATTGTTAAGGTATTTCATTCATCATCTTGCCAATGTCCCAAATACAGAATTGGAACCTGGCCGAATTCACAAGGCTGTTGCCAGAACCCGGTGAGGACGTGCTGGCATCTGTAGGGGCTAGGTTTGCCCTCAGGAAGCTCTCCCCATCGTCGGTCATCAAGGCTATTTTTAAGGCTTCTTAAGAGCCTGCAAGAAACTTCTGCATGTGACAGATGATTTCTCAGGGAAAGGCGAGGCCCTAGAAACTGTGGGGAGAGGGCCCTTAAGTAAAAGGAACCCAAGATCATGAAAATTCTGGGACAGGAAACTTCCTTCCTTGTGGCCAGAGTCAGCTAGGGACCACAGGACCACTGTTCATGATTTAAATTTTACTATAATGAATTTAAAAAACAAATAAACAAATTTCATATAAATAAAGTTTTGAGCTCTGCCAAATATGACAATAGACTGTGAAGACACATCTTGCCCTCACCTCCTTTGAGGGAGTAGAGGAAGAACTATTACTACTTCCCATTTTACACGTGAGAAGTGAGGCTCAGACAGAACCATGAGCCCAGCTTAAACCCAAAAGCCACTGCCATCAAGTCCAATCCAACTCATAGAGACCCCATGGGGCAGAGTAGATCAGCTCCATAAGGTTTCCAAGCTATAAATCTTTATGGGAGCAGACAGCCTCATCGTTCTCCTACAGAGCTGCTGTTGGGTTCGAACCACCAACCTGGTGGTTAGCAATCCAGTACTTAACCCACCGTGACACCAGGGCTCCATTAGAATGGGTAAAAATGGGTTCTATTCCAGGTCATCTGAGCCCCGAGCCTTGTCTCCTTGCCTGAACTGCCTCTCAAAGAAGTAGGAGAGAAATGGGAACTTACAGCCCCCATGTAGGCACAGAGAAGGTAAAAGTAACCTAAAGACCTCAAACTGCAGCCTAGAGACAAGCTCTGGCTTGCAGGGTCTAAGTGATTTGAACAGTCATGTTCTCTAAAATACAGGAGTTTTTTCATATAAATTTTTATATCCAGAGATTGCAGATAAAACTTCTCTAGTCAAATCAGAAACTCTGGCAGTGCTAGGTCTGTATTTTGGCAAAGCATCGTCAGCTAGACCTAAGTAGAGGGGCTCCCTTTGAATGGGAATGGGCTCAGCAGTGTGCCCCAAATCCCTACCATGCCATGTTACCTCACACTGGGTCGGCCTCACTCACTTGCCCCAGTCCCCATCATGCCATGTTGCCTCACACTGGGTCGGCCTCACTCACTTGTGTTGCCAGCCAACCCTGCATGAATCTCTGCCCTGCCTCCAACTAGCTGTGATAACCACCTTCCATTGTCCTCTGTCATTGATTGGATTATGTCCTCCCAAAATACATCAGCTTGGCTGGGTCATGATTCTCAGGGGCTTAGCAGTCATTTGATGACCCCCATACCCACCTACCCATGTCGTGATGTGATATAACAAACCACCAAGAAGTCTAAGGGTGAGATGCTGTTGCTCCTAAGTGCCTGTCAGTTTGTTCTGACTCATAGCCACCCTGTATAGGGTTTTTGAGGAGTGGCTGGTGGATTTGAACTGACGACCTTGTGGTTAGCAGTCCAGTGTTCATCCTACAGCGCTACACCACCCTTAATTCCAATCATGACCCTGATCTGATGTAAGAGAGATCCCCAGGGTGGCATGCACCACCTTTTATCTTTGTTGTTGTTGTTAACCATCGAGTCAGTTCTGACTCATAATGACTTTATGCACAACTGAACACAACTATCATTCACCATCCTCATAATGGTTGATGTAAGCCCATAGCTGCTGCCACTGTGCCAGTCCATCTTGTTGGATCTTTGTCTTTTTCACTTTACCCAGCACGATGTTCTTCTCCAGGGACTAGTCCCTCCTGATAACATGTCTGAAGTAGGAGAGATGAAATTTCGACATCCTGGCTTCTAAGGAGCATTCCTGGTTGTACTTCTTCTAACACAGATTTGTTTGTTCTTCTAGCAGTCCATGTTGTAGTTGTTAAGTGCTGTCGAGTCGGTTCTGACTCATAAAGACCCTGTACAGGGTTTCCAAGGAGCAGCTGGTGAGCTTGAACCACCGACCTTGCAGTTCAAACCTATTTTGCAGTCAAGCACACATTAACCCACAGCACCACACCAGGATTCCATGGTACTTTAAATATTCTTCTTCAACACTGTAACTCAAATGCATCAAATCTTCTAGGGTCTTCCTTATTCACTGTCCAACTTTCACATGCATATGAAGCTACTGAAAATACCATGGCTTGAGTCAGGCACACCATAGTCTTAAACTGACATCTTGGCTCTTGAACACTTTAAAGAGATCTTGTGCAGCAGATTTGCCTAATGCAATAAGTCATTTGATTTCTTGATTGCTGTTTCCATGAGTGTTGATAGTAGATACAAGCAAAATGAAGCCTTTGACAACTTTAATCTTTTCTCCATTTATCATGATACTATTTATTGGTCCAGTGGTGAGGATTTTTGTTGTCTTTACATTGAGGTACAACCCATACAGAAGACTGTGATCTTTGATTTCCATCACTAAGTATTTCAAATCCTCTTCACTTTCACCAAGCCAGGTTGTATCATCTGCATATCAAAGGGTGTTTATGAGTCTTCCTCCAATCCTGATGCCATTTTCTTTTTCATATATTCCAGCTTCTTGGATTGCTTGCTCAGCATACAGATGGAATAAGTATGGTGAAAGAACACAACCCTGGCACACACGTTTCCTGATTTAAACCATTCAGTCTCCCTTTGTTCTGTTCCAATAGCTACCTCTTGGTCTATGTACAGGTTCCTCATGACCATGATTAAGTGTTCTGGAATACTCACTATCATTAGTGTCATTAGTGTCTAATGCATCAAATCTGTTCTGGAGATGATCTCTAAATTCAAATGGGATATGTCCAAGGTCAAATTTTGGCACTTGTGGACTTGTTTTAATTTTCTTCAGCTTTTGCCTGAACTTGCATCTGAACAGTATCTGTCCTATAGTCTGCCCAAGTCCAATTTGATTTCTATGTATTCCATGTGGTGAGGCCCATGTCCCTTTTATGTTGTTGTTGTTGTTTTAACTATTTGCAATGAAGAAATCACTGGTCTTACACAATTCTGTTATGTGATCTCCACTATCAATCCTATCACCAAAGCCACATTTTCCAACTGCTGATCCTTCCTCTTTGATTCCAACCTTTGCATTCCAAACACCAGTAATTATCAATATATCTTGACCGCAGGTTTGGTCAATTTAAAACTGTAGAAATTTAATTTCATAATCACTGGATTTAGTGGTTGGGGTGTACATTTGAATAATAGTGGCATTAACTGGTCTTCCTTGTTGTTGTTGTGTTGTTGTTAGGTGCCATCGAGTCGGTACCAACTCATAGCGACCTTATGCACAGCAGAACAAAACACTGCTCGATCCTGGGCCAGCCTCACTATTTTGCCACACTTGAGTCCATCGATGCTGCCACTTGGCTGGGGCTCTTCCTCTTTTTCTCTGACCCTCCACCTTACCAAATACGATATCCTTCTCCAGCAACTGGTCCTTCCTGACATTATGTCCGAAGTATGAGAGACAAAGTCTGGCCATCCTGGCTTCCAAGGAGC